TTTTTAAGAGATCTCTCTTTTCATGGTCACTAACTGCCATCCTGTCTTCTATATCTGATATTCTGTCTTCACCTTGGCTAATTCTGCTGGGAATACTTTCAATAGAGTTTTTAGAATCTTTTTCATGGATTCCATTTCTTTCCTATGCTGGGCAGTCATGGCTTCCATCTTGGTCCTGAGCTCATCTATTTTTTATCTGTTTCTGTTCTAGTCTCTAATCATGTTTTTCATTCCGCTCACTATTTCTGTAGTTATCTGGGAAATTATTTCTGTTTTGGATTTTTCTAGATCAGTTCAAGGTGTCTAGGTGGTTGATTATCAGACTTTTCCATCTCATTTCCCCCAGAATTTGCCTTTGGTGAGCTGGTAGTCTGGGTTTGTGCTTTCTTCAGTGTCTTCTCATTTCTATTTTTGTTGTTAGTAGTGTCCTTGGTTTATTTCCTGGATTGATACTTCGATATTGCTTATTGTAAGTATCTTTGTTGCTTGCATTTAGAACCCTTATGGAATGATTGCTTCTCAGAGATGTCTTCCAAATATAGCTAGTCTTTAGGTTTTTGAGTCTCTAGTGACTCTTAGGCAATCTTGTTTTCAGTATACCAGGAAGGACAACTGATTAGATCAATCACAACACCTTAGTCCAAGTGATAAAATTAGCAACAACAATAGCATCAAGAACAGCTTAGAAAATGACAATTTGTGGTAATTATTAATCTATCACCTTTAACTGTGGGAATTAATCCAAAATTGAGGACCTGCCCAAAATATGTTTATAGTGAATAAACTCTTCAATATGGCAACTTTACCCTTCAGGATGGAGACTTAGAAGGAGTTGGGGGGGATAGATAGGTAGAAGGATAGCAAGAGGTTAGAAGTGAGGTCAGAGGACACAGGAAGATTATGCAAACTCTAGGAAACTGTTGAAGACAAGCAAAAAAGACAGAATGAAAAAACAAAGACAAGAACAGAACAACCTAAAGCAATTGGGAAGATAGAAACTATTCTCTTTCCTTTAAAACTAATGACAGTTGAGAGAAGGAAAAAGAGAGAAGAAAAGAAAAAGAAAGAAAAAAAAGTTCCAAATCAGGACAGGAACAGAAACAAAAGGGGAGAAAAATGAAGAACAAGGTGAGAGAGAGAGCAAGAGAGCAAGAAAGTGAGAGGGAGAGAGAGAAAGAAAAGAAAAAAAGAAAAAGAAGAAAAAAAAAGGCATTTGAAAAGAAAAATATTAAAATATAAAAATTAATAATAAGAGAAAAAAAAAAAATTGAAAATAAAAAATAAAAATGAAGGGCCTCCTTCAGGGTATGTCTCTGCTGTCACAATAGACAATGTGGGCAGCAGCATGCAGGTCTAGGTAAATTAAATAGTCTCAGCAAGCCAGTAGCAGTCTCCTGTGGTTAGGGCAAATTTCTGGCTACAAGGCCCAAGTTGACCTCCCTGAACTCATGCTGGGTTGAACTCTGCAAGCTTCTACTGTAGGTTTCAGCTGCCCTTTCCCTGAAGATAGTCCAGGTCCCTAGGGGAGGTGGTGATCTCTCCAACTTACCAATTACGGTGGTCTTATGTGCCTTTATTGCAGAGATTTTCTTCTCTTTTCCAGTGGGCTTCAACTTTCTTTGAGGATCCTCAGAGAGGCCCTCTTTGTGTTTTTCACTTCTGCTCTATCTTCTGGAGCTCAGGACAATGTTCTTATGAACCCCTGCACCTCTGCAGTGTGAATTCAGGTATCTGTGTAGCTCAGAGGCTAGAGGTGAGAGGCGGGGGTGGGGCATTGCTGCTGCTGCCCTGCAACTCAGCTCCTTGGCTCCATGCAGCTGGGCTCCTCCAAGGATTATCTTTGTTATAAAACATTGTATTACTGCTAGAATATAGTAGCTTTTGACTGATATATTTTGATTTTTATATTTTCATGGTTCAACTTGGGTAGGTTGTGTCTGCAAATTTATGCATTCCTTCTAGAATTTCCAATTTGTTGGAATATAATTTTTAAATACTGCCTATGGTTTTCTAGATTTCTATGATACTTGTTGTAATAGCCTGTTTTGCAGCTCTAATTCCATCATTTTGGATCATTTCTTTCTGTCTATGCTGGCCCACTTTCTGCAGTCTGGGGCCACCTTTCCAGTCCTCTGATCAGGTGACAGGAGCTTTCTCCTCAGTAGGCAGCTGTGCTTTCCAGAACTGGTGCTGGGTTTCATTGGTCTGGCAACTGGTGTCCTCCCCTTCCCACTGCAACCAGTTTTTATCTATTTATATATCACAGTCATCATTGCCTTAGGCTATCACTGCCTTGGGCTGACATTTAGGTAGGATGCCATCTGCTTTATTGGAGAGAGGTGCTTATTGGATCTTACAGATACAAACATGCAGGGCTTTCTGTTGTCCCTTGCAGCACACCCATGCAATGGGGATGCATTTTAAGATGGATCCCAGTCCCAGGCATGGCTCAGTCTGGTGGAAATTTCTGGGAACTGCCTCTCCCACACCAGAACTCAGGTCACCTCATCACTGGCTTGCCCACATTGCCTTCAAACGATTTGCCATGGTGCCCTGATATCATGATGCACATTCTGGTTGACATGGATGAATATCCCAGAGCATCTGGTAAGTGCTGCAGGCCTCCCATCTGCAATGGCGCTCTTTCCATTTCTACACTTTTAATACCTTTCTTGAAATGGAATCCCTGTTAAGATGCATTTCCCCCATTGTACAGTTTCGTGCTTATTTTAGTAGGAAAATTTCTTTTTTATTTTTGTTTTTGAGTCCAGACTGGCCTTGAACTCATTATGTATCCCAGGGTGCCCTCAAACTGGCAGCAATCCTCCTGCTTCAGCCTCCCTAGTGCTGGGATTATAGATGTGTGCCACCACCTGGCAGTAGGACAAATTTCTAACTGTTAAGCTACTCTGGAAAAGAATATAAAGAATTTTCATCTGAATAGAAAGTCACAAAATTTGTTCAGTTGTTCTTTAAATATAGCTGGAGACTGTTATTGAAACAAAGTCAAGTACTTGATGTATTGAAAAGAGGCAATTGGTTGGCATTAAGTACAAATGGTACTTCCGTCCTTCCATGACTTTTCTGTGGAAATGCTATGTTCTCTAATGTTTTATAGATCTCATTTATCTTGTCATCTCTCAGAACCTTCACTCGACAGCTCAGTAAGGGAAACTATTGTGGATTCAGGACAATGATGGTGTAGCATAAAAAAATACTTCAGGGTAAAAATGGAAATCTTAAACAATATTTTTGGGAGGATCCTGATATGTTTAACTTAGGATGTTATGAGTATAGTTTTTTAGACACAGAGAACTTATACCCAAACATACATATGTGCACACACATGAGCACACACATACACACATTCATATATTTACACACTATATATCTACATATGTATTTAAATTGTACCATAGATTAAATAATTTCGTGAAGATAAAAAAAGAAAAGAGTGATCGTGACTGAATATTTAAAGTCTGAAATGCAAGGCCAACCTTTGAGTTCATATGAAGGTCAGTGCTGGAATGCAGAGCTTTTGTCTTCAAATATGGCTCCCATGGGTATAAAAGTGCTGGTAATGGGTGCATGTATCTTCCTGAACTCTACTCTTCTGAGTTACCCATAAGGAACTATATATTTGTGTGCCTGAAATTCAAATGTTGAAAATGTAACCTTGGACATGGTGGTTATGGAACTGGAAAATTAGGGGGGGAAATCAAGTTTTGATATGATAGAGAGTGTAAAGCCTTCATGACAGGATCAATGCAATTGGAAGAAGAGTAAGAGTAAGACCTGCTGATGCCTTCATTTTGACCTCACTAGGACCCAACCTGTAAGAGATAAATGTATATTGTTTAAATTACCCAATCTATGGTATTGTTTTTACTGTAGCCTAAACTAAAATGGTATGCTTTTCCACCTTATTCTTGAGATTGTATTTTCCCCTTCCTCTGGATCCAGTTATTCCAGTGTGTCTGTACTCAGCACCCATTACATCTTTTCTTTGTGCCATACCAGGTACATACAAGTATCATGCATATGGGCTCTTCCTTGTATGATCTGTGGGATAATGAATATATGGAAGGAAAGCTAAAGGAACTGAGGCAGTGTGTGTGGTATGTAAAGTAGGTAGGCTGCAATGGACATACAATCCTTTGTAGCCAGGACATTGTGACCTCATGTTAATATATTTTCTCTCTGAAAACTAATCTGTATTTTGTACTTTTCTGTCTACACTTAAGTTAGTACCAAATTTGGGCTGGGATTTGTGTGGTAGAATAGAGATGAAGATTGTTCCCTTTTCCATTCAGCACTTGCCTGTGAGATTAATAATATCACAGGTAGAAAAACACAAGATTTTGCAGAGCTAATAATTATAAGGTGAAATCTTTGAAAATGCACAAAATATGTGATTTTGGAAAACAATTTCTGCACCTTATATTTTCCCCTACCTACTCTATGGAGTTTCAGATGGATTGATGAAAGAAGGGATGAAAGTCAGTAAAGCATCAGTGCATTGTGGGTAAGGATGGCTATAGCTTCATCATAGATGTAGGATGAATAGTGTGAATTACTTTGGGGTAATTGACTTTAATTGTGTAGTTTAGTATCATTGTAAGTCATAAGGACATGATCTACCATCAAAAGCAGAGTATTTTGCCCAAACCTTACAGCAAAATTTATTGGATATATTAAGTACCTAATAAAAATATATGGTGGAAATAGCGGTACTATTCACTTTTGTATCTTCAATGTTTTACAGAGTGTAGAGAGAGTAGGTCATAAATAAGCTTATAGTGATTACTCTGGATTAATGAAAAATAATCTTCCCAATTCTATTCAAGAACAACCTCAATTCTCTGTTCTCATTTTCACTTCAAGACTCAAGAGAAAGTTTATGAATAACAAGCAAGGACCATACTTAAACAGATGTGGTGCAGTAGTCCATATTTTTATTGAGAGGCTGATTTCTGCAGGAAAATACAGATGAAGTTGACTATGGATGGTGGATGTGTTCAGTTGGCAGCAATACTTTCCTGAATCCAGTCCAGGTAGTTACACACCTTGGTGTAGACACCAGGTTTGCCTTTCAGAGCACAGCCAGTGCCCCAGGAGACCACACCCTGGAGCTCTCCATTGCAGACCACAGGGCCACCAGAGTCACCCTGGAAAAAGGGAAAGGACAATCAGCACTTGTGTTTATGTCTAGAAGGAACATGGGCTTCAATATATTCCTCCATTATCCTGGAGCCATTTTCAAAGGTAACTGGTTCTCCATGGAGCACTTGCTCTACCTCTGGAAATTCTAACTTCAATTTCCTTCCTATATCTATTTTTTCTCTTCCTTTCTTATGGCCCCTCCTCCTTGCTTAAAATGTCAAGACTCCCAAGAGAAGGAGAACACTGGAGAGATGTATGCGGCCTTACTATCTCTGCTGGTTTCACAGGACTTAAATCTCATAGTACAAGTCTGCAGAAGATTGCAAGGGCTCAAGGTTTGCAACCCGCCTCATCTTGGTCTTTTACTTATAACCGAAATCACCAGTAACTCAAAGAGAAATTTACATTTGAAAAATTCATGACTCATTCCAAAGCAGTTCCTCGTGTACCACAATCTGCGCTAGGCACACTATTTTTTCCTGTGTTTCAGCAAAGAAAACTATGGGGGAAGACTGAGATAGCTGAAGGACTGCAGTGAAACTCACATCACAAGAGTCCTTTCCACCCTCCAGGAAGCCCAGGCAGAATGCGTTGCCACTGATGCGGCCGGGATAGGCTTTGTGGCAGGCAGCGTCAGACAGGACAGGGGCGTCCAGGCACTTAAGGACGGCAGGGTATACGCCTGTTGAGCACCAAAATAAAAGTTTTGCTGGAAATAGGTGTATGACTCTACCTCTTTTCTGTCATAGTTCTCTCACAACTGTCTTTCAACATGCCAGTGACTTCTGGTTTGGACACAGTTTCTTTTCCTAGAAGGTTTTCCAAAGAGTTCTAATCAATCACTTTTTCTTTTGTTCCAGCAGTATTAGCAGCTGCAGGCCTTAAATCCAGAGACATTTTCTCCAGCAGATGGACACTTTAGGGAGCGCTGAATCTGTTGTCTTTGCTCTCAGTTTCTAGTTCTCTTCATATAACTAATGCTAGTTAAGTTAAATACCTTGACATCACTCTTTTCATTATTTTGTTTGGTTTCATTTGATTGTTGAGACAGAGTCTCTCTATTTAATACAAGCTAACCTAGACCTCTCTATATAGCCCAGATTACCCTTAAAATGATGATCTCCTGCCTCATACTCTCAACTGCTGGGACTGCATGGGTTCTCCACCATGCCTGGCTACAGTTCATGTTGATTACATCTTCCTTACGGTCTTCAAAAAGGTTGTTGCTTTCTTCACTTATTATATTCTCAGACTTAATATATTAACAAATTTATAGAATCCAAATTCTCATGCTAAAAACCTTGCCTTGATTGAAAATTAGGATTATCAGATACTCAAAATACCGTTTTTCTCTACTCTTTTCAGATTTGATACTTGTTTTCCAGGTTACACTTACCACCAAAGCTCACTGTGTTGCCCCAGCCAGACACCAAGCACTGAGTACCAGCAGATGGACAGGATTTTGGAAGAGGGACTGTAGACACTTGAGAGTTAATGGTGGCAGGTCTCTTCAGTTTAACCAGCATGATGTCATGATTATAGATGGAAGTGTATTCAGGATGAATGATGACCTTGGCTACATCAATGAATTGTTCACCACCCTCAATGATGTCAATGTTGTGATCTCCCAGATGTACTTGGAATTGACTTCATTAGAGGATTAAATATCTTAATTATTCAATATGCACTTTTCCCCTTTATGCCAATCATCATTCTTAAGCATAAACACAGATTCCCCTTCAGGCATTGACTCACAAATAATTGTGCACTTAAGGTAGGACTGTTCACTACACCAAATGTGACAGATGGGAGAATCCCTAATGTAACTGTTGCTGGTAGTACAGTCTCACAACACACCATTTTGTTGAAACAGTCAGGGTTAGGAACAAGAAACAATTGACACTTTGAAAACAGAGATAAAAAAAGGCATGGAGATTAATCACTACTTGCCATTTCTTCTCTTAGTAGGATTTCACATTTTCATAGAAAGATGGAGAATTAAGTATATAACAGAATATTAAGAGTATGAGCAGTAATTATTTTTCATTTTGTCCTGTAAATGATACATTTTATTCTATCTCTATATTTATTCTCATCTATTTCTAATGAGTAGAACTATGTACTCAGTTATTCAAGACTATTTCTCTTCTAAGTCTTTTTTTTATCATGGTTTGAAAATATACAGGGAGCCCTAAAGGTACCATACCAATAAAAGTCATCATTCCATTTTTTGGAATAATCTGAAGACTTTATCCATCAAGTATAATTCTGTACTTTATCATGATTGTGTTTTGGTGGAGCCAGAGCCTAATTTGAACTTAGAGCACTAAAAATCTAATACTGTTCACTTACCGCTTGTAGCAGTGAGCTGCAGACACGACCCACTGATCCGTGATGAGGGAGCCACCACAGAAGTGGGAGCCATCATTCAGGGACACCTGGTAGGGAAGGGAATTCTTCGGACAGGTGTAACCCCCAATAATCTTGTCATCATCATCAATGGGGAGGGCAACTGTCAAGGCAATGTTGACAAATACTGTTAAACAGATGGACATGGAATTTCCACTCATCATGTTCTGCAGGCTAACTGTAGAAGAGATGACCATGTTCTTTTGCCTCACATAATGAGAAAATGAGGGTTTAAAAGTGTTTCAAAAATGCATTATTCTATATCTTTAGCACATACTCTTTTGATATCATTCTCAATAAGTATATGAATTTTAATTTATTCCTTAACAAGTTGTTAATGATTTTATTTATCTACCTCCTGTTGACACATACTCAGAAAATCACAATGATCAGAGTCTCTCTGCAGAACGCGCATGTCTGCCACCATACGGGGATGTAAATAACCCATTTTACACAGAACCCTGCTCGGTAGCCCTGGAATATGTAGAGAACTTTTCAGTAATTTTACTGATATGTGTCTGTGTTTGGTGATGAGGTGTTTGTCTGGCATCGCTATCTCCATAGGGTAACAGGAAGGAAAATCTTAGATGCAGAATGAAAACATTCTGGGATAATGGGGACTGAGCATTTTTACTTTTATTCTCCAAATTTCTGTCTTTGTTTCTGTCCTTAAAATTTTGTTCAATCATTTCACATTACTATATAATTTTCCTCTAGGCAATATTTCTTTTTAGCCCAATTAGCTTTTCAAAGTTACAGATACATTGTATACTGTAATGAGGAGTCCTCAGATCTATGAAGATTTCCTATAGCTCCATAATCATCCAATTATGATACATAAATTTTCCAATATCTCAATATATTTTTTCTCATATGTTAATACAATTTTATGGAAAATGTTTCCGTGAATATAGAACTATAGATTGAATTTATACCTGGCAAATTTTTGACATTTAGTATTAAATTTGAGGGTCTAAACTTTAGAAGTATCAAAATTACAGATTTTTCTCTATTTTTTTCATTACTAAATGTGATGTGTCATTGTACCAGTTAGATTGCATTAGTAACATTGTCATGAAACATAGCTCAAGGTTTTCATCTGGGAGAAATGAAGTATCTGTTTGGTGAAGACAATAAATAAATACATAATCAGCCATTTAGTAGTCTAGAGATAGAGCCGTGGGTATTTATGGCCATTTCAAGGGTTTACACAGTAGTTATAATCATTAACTCTAAATTCTCAGAGAGTTCAAGACAGATGATTCTTTTATGTGGACTATCTTTCCTCTTCTTGCCTTCTTTATGGCATTTACCTGCAAGTTCCGGACTAGTTCTTTATGCGTTCTTCTTAGAAACACTCCTAGTCAACATCATCTTTCTCAAACAAGGGATTTAATTATCCATAACCTTATTAACTAAATACTGGACTTTCACCTCTAAGCTTCTCCAGCACAGAACCTGTATTCAATATTAATTAAGTTTTTCACAGCATGAAACACAAACTTACACACACCATATATACCTGCTGATATGTTCCCTGAGGACACTCACCAGCAGCTCCTAGGAAAGCCACAAAGATGAAGGTCTTCATGGTAACTCTCTTTGTATGGACTGCACAATACGACGATGGCTTTCCATCCACAGGTATTTATATGCACAGGTTTGTTGGTGACACCCATGGCTATAGGTGCCAAAAGTGATTTCAATGGAAAAGGAAAAAAATCTAAATTTAGAATTCAATTCTGGACACATGCAAGATGATTCAGCGTGAATTGTAAATATCAGCCTTATTCCATTTTTTCAGAATTTTATGGGAAAGAAAGTAGAAAACCCACCTGGTGGAAATTGTTCTGTATAATAGGAAAATAAATGGGATGAAGGGTTCAGTATGGGAGCAACAGGTTTCCTGATTCCCAAGCAAAAATATCAGGGACTTGGTTGACTCAGCTGTAATCTTTTGATCTTGTGAACCCTGCACCCTTAGTATTTAATTTACATTGGCGCTTTCACAGCTCTCTACCTGGTCTTAGGGCAGTTCTGACCTTACATGTCCATGTTAACTTTCATTATGAGTATCAAGTTGTGCTCTTGAGAAAAGGAAATTTGTTCTCCTTTGAAATGATACAGATAGGAAGTAGAAAGTAAAATAATGATATTAAACTGCATTTTTAATGTTTAGTACATTGCAGGGTATAATCTTTCTTCCTTTATATGTATTAACTTTGCACCACTTCAGTTATAGTGAAACATATACCAAAGATACTAAATGCCACATTCCAGAAATAGATAATCCATAAGTTTTCAATAATTTTTATTCTAGTTGTTTGTTTTACTTATTTTATTTTACGAATAGTTGTTGGGTTTTCACTTGCTTAATTTACATGTCATATTTTATGATATACATATTAGAAAATCTGGGTATATAGGATCTGATAACACATCTGGCATCTGGCATGATCTGGGTGTCTTGGAATGTATCTCCCATGGCTAAGGTGGGACTATCATATTCTATCTTGTTTGCTTATATTAATGTAGTAATCCTTATAAAGCCATATGAGGTACATAATACAATCCAAACTTTATAAATCCAAAAACTAAGGCACTAAATGAGGAATGGTGCAGAAAGAAGCAGCAGTTGCTCGTGGCAAGCCAAACTGCAGTTGGCACTGTAGGGACTTCCCAGGGGCTGTCCAGAGGGCATCTGCCTTCTTTCCTGTCTCTCCATTATCAGTAGCCTCTAAAGGCTTTGTTGGTGGAAGGAGTCTTTCTTTGGTCTTTGTGAGACTGTGACTTCACCTGGCTGTGCTTCACCAGGGTGCACATTGAAATTCTTTTGTTTCTTGCATTTGGGATTTTAGTAGCAGTTTGGATCTTCCTTGGGAAATTTTGCCCTACCGGTGTCTATGAAATAAGATTCAGAGTTCTCATATTCCCAGGAAATTTGTTGGTGTGGAGAGCACTCAACTTTGTTGGTTTACCTTTTTCTTTTTCTCTTATAAGTGCTTTTATTTCTAGAATAGATAACTTGGTTTCAATGTCATCTACGTCCTCTGAGTCCTTTGGTTGATAAAGGAAGGATCCTATTGTGACAACACATGGCCTGAGTGTGCTAGATTTGGGGGGAAAGTGGCTGCTCACCTGATCTTTACAATTGGAACTGGTTTGTCAAGGATCTGCTGAATGGGGTGAAATCACATACTGTAGACATTTATGCTTTGACACAACAAAGCTTCTAAGGAGAAGGGAATGAGGTTGATGGTTTCAAGAAGAAGGAAAGACATTATTTCTCTTCCAGAGGGTAAAACTAGGAGGAAATAAAAAATGAAGTAATTGGTCTTTTAAATGCTTTAAATCTGCTCCAGTTGGTATAGGGACTTTGGTACCAGCAGGTCCCACTAGCAGGTCCTACTCTTACTGTTTCAGGACACCTGTCTCAATTTTGGTTTGCTAACATTTGATTTTTATTTCCCCGTCACTCCTGTATTATCTAAATTTTCATTTCTCCTTTTCATCTCTTTCTCCTGATCATTGAAACTTTGAGCATAGAAGCTTTCAATAAGGGCAACATCTGTTATAATGAGGGAAAAAAATTAAAGAGAGTAGGAATTGTTTAGGGAGAAATTGACATTTGTTATTCCAGCTGGATTTATGTTGGATAGTTAGATGCCTTGGCTTCAAACACTTAGAAAAACAGGGACATTTAACTAAGGAGAAAGAGGATTTATATTTCCTTCAGTGGGAATATATGTCATTCCTAAATTGGTTTCTTGTATGCTAAACTAGAAGTGTAGGATAGTCTATGGGAGGATAAAAAGTTTACATATCTATATATCTGTAATTTTGGATATGGATCTATAAAAAATATTGTATGACTTGATGTGTACAAATTGTGATGCAATGAAGACTTTTAACAAATGGAATATTCTCTTTGCAAGATGTCAGAAGCCTCTATTCTTCAGTTGAATGAGTATAAAAAGATTGTTCTTTGCCTCTCTTATTAAAATACTACATCTAATTCAGAAACAAATTAGGGTAGGAAGAGTTATTGATGAGCTAGACCTCTGATAAATGAATTTCTGTCCCTCTATATGAACGTTTTAATACGTTTTACAAAACAAATTTTCACTTGTATCACCATTTACTTCTGGTAATATTTAAACTTATATCTCAATGACAACTTCACTTCTTAATCTTTCTTGCTTTGACCTGACCTTTTGTTATGACTTTGTTTTAATGATGTTTAGGTTACAATACGTATTGTTTGAAATTAACTTTATCGGTATGATTTAGATATACATAATGCACACATTCATCATAGGGAATTTATACTTGGATTATATCTTGGATATAATATCTGGATATAATTTGTACATATTATATCTTCATTCCTCTTTTTTCCCAATCCCCTCCCCTCTATTCAACTCCCCCTCTTCCTCATTTGCAAAAGCTTTATTTCCATTTTTCCTTCTTTTCTCATGTTTTGCTTTTCCTTTCTTTCTTTTTCCCCTTCCTCCTTCCCAGTTCCCCCTTTCTTTTTGTTCAATTTCTTTCTATTTCATATTACCTATTATACATTTTGACCCTTATTTACCCTTCCAGTTTCTCACACCAGAGAGCTCATGTGTGCCCAGTTGATTTCACTTACGAGTATGATCTCAAGTTGCACCCATTTAGCTATAAATGTCTCAAGTTTATTTTCATTATGGCTGAGTAGTCCTCCATTGCATGAAAAACAACCACATCTTGTTTAGCCATTCATCAATTGATGGGCACTTGGGTTGTTTCCAAGATTTAGCCATTACAAACTGTGTCACTGTAAACATGGATGTGCATATACCATTGTGGTGTAATGGTTTTAATTCTTTTGGGAAGATACTCAGAATGGCAACAGCTGGGTCAAATGGGACCCTAATCTTATCTTTTTGAGGTATCTCCAGACTGATTTCCTAAGTGGTTGCACCACTCTGCACTCCCACCTACAGTGGGGCAGGGTTCCTTTTCCCCCATGTCCCCACGAGCATTTGTTGTTGATTGATTTCTTG